TGAACAATTACATCAGAATTATCAACAGCAAAACCAAGTATAAAAAATAAAACAATGTTCTATTTTAAAGAAAAAATCTTAAGTATTTATTATTTTACAGCCACTGCACACCAGCCTGGGATAATGAAAAAAAAAAAAAAAAAAAAAAAAACGACTAATTCTAAATTTAAAATACTAAAGTACTTTCACTTAATTGAATATTTTTCTATCATGTATTATTTCCAATTGTATTTGCCCTTTACCTGTTCATATTGTACATGATAGTAAGTAATCTAAGAGGAAGATACCAGAAGTAAACAGAAATATTTGTAATTACTCTCATAATCAGCTGCTAGGATTACATATCAAAAAATGGGAAGTTTTACCTCCTCACATCATTTTTAATATTCTAATATTATAAAATATTATAAAACAGTACAAACTGCAGTTTCAGTTCCTTATTTATGAATTTCATTAACAAGAAGAGAACAGCTTAATGTATCTGCCTTTCTGCACAGAATAAGGAGGTTGTGACCTACATACTTTAAATAGTTCAGAATCACAAGTGGTCGGGAAGACGACATTCATAAACTGTTTTTCAGCATTTTTTTCATACATTTTACACACAGTCTTGAAATGCAATGTGCCATATATGAAAATTTTCTTTTTTTCTTTTTGAGATGGAGTCTCACTCTGTCACCCAGGCTGGAGTACAGTGTCGCGATCTCACCTCACTACAACCTCCGTCTCTCAGGTTCAAGTGATTCTCTTGCCTCAGCCTCCCAAGTAGCTGGGACTATCAGGTGATCCACCCTCCTCGGCCTCCCAAAGAGCTGGGATTACAGGCAAGAGCCACCATGCCCAACCTGAAATTTTTCATTTGTTTCTCCCTTGAATTTATTCATATTTTCCTTTACCACAGGGCCACTATTTTAAGTACAGCAACCTTTGTAGTTATTCTGTGTCCTTACAAACATATGATAAAAAGTTACGATCTCCTCTACAACCTTCTCAGGTTTTCAATCTTTTACAAGTATTATATAGTGTGTTTTCTTATTTATACCTCTATGGCATCTTTCAACGAACCCGCTAGCAAGAAAAAAGCAGCGGATTGTTCAAAGCGTTGTTTTCCAAGTAAGGAAAAAGCATTTTTCAAAGCAGCTTTTCGCCATCTATCTTCATTAAAGTTGTGGCTGAAAAATGTTGTCATTTTTTCATCATGCTGTGACCTGGGAACCAAGCAGAAACATAAAGTGGTTTAACCAAATTTAAAATGTTCTACAAAATGTATAAAAATATAAAATAAAAACCTCAAACATAAATCTAAAAGAAGAACAGGCATTTGTTATCACGCATCTCTTCACTTCTAATAAGGAATGTCAACGCCTTATGTATACATAACTAGGAAACGAAAGCATTTTTTACTTTGCAAAGTGCTTTTATCAACTTTTAAAACATTCCACCCCTTAGATTAAACTGAAAATATATTTTACCCTTTTTTTCAGCTAAAGGAACCAAGTCGCATAGAAGTTGATTTGATGAAGCTCATACACCTAATTATTTTCAAAAGCATTAGGTTTCTTACAGCACAATCTTCATTCTGTTGAATCACATTAAGTGTCAAGGCAACTTACCTAAACAGACCCCACACTACTGCTTTCTTCTTCATTGAAAGGTAGAATAGTGCAGCATCTAAGGCATCATTGTTCCTTTGAAAAGAAGCTTTGGCAACCTAAATGATAAATTAAATATTAAATTAATAATTTGACAAAAGAATTACAATCAATTAATCAACAATGTTTCCCTGCTACTTCCATGGCTGATAGAAACTGTAGAGACAGAAAAAGTTGGTTCTGTTTCACAGTCTTCAGTAGGTTATAATATTAATACACGCTCCTAGAGATAATCATTTGCAAGCCAGTAATTATGGTAAAAATCATAATTACAGCCAGCACTTATTGACTATTTACCATGTACTGGGCACGAGTCTATGCACCTTTTGTTATCTTATTGCATCACTACAAACCATGAAGTTCTATCATTATTCCCATTTTACAGATGAAGTGACTGAGACAGAAAGGTTAAGTGAATTGCCTACAGTCACACAGTAAGGGTTAGAAAAGGGAATAGAACCCACGTAGAACTGAAACTAACATAGAAAGCAATAAAGAAGGCAGAATATTCAATAGATGTGAGTTTTTTCTTGAAAATTCAACATGTTATACTGTATGTAATCATACTGTCTTAAACATAAGAGCATATAGGCCATATCTGATTTTTCCAGGATGCTGAGATACAGCCTCTGCAAATCATTAAGCTGAAAGGCATACTGACAAAAAAACAGTGGACGTTTTATTAATTAGCTCACATTGATGGCAAAGCAGGAAGCTATAACACTAAGGTATGGGAAAAAGGGAAGACACCTAAATTACATCACGAAAATGCTTTACTCTTGGGTTGGGCGCAGTGGTTCATGCCTGTAATCCCAGCATTTTGGGAGGCCAAGACAGGCAGATCACTTGAGGTCAGGAGTTCGAGGGAAGTCTGGCCAACGTGGTGAAACCCCATCTCTACTAATACAAAAATTAGCCAGGCGTGGTGGCGCACACCTGTAGTCCCAGCTACTCGGAGGCTGGGTGGGAGAATTGCTTCAACCCGGGAGGAACAGGTTGCAGTGAGCCAAGATTACACCACTGCACTTCAGCCTGGGTGACAGAGTGAGACTCCATCTCAAAAAAAAAAAAAGAAAGGAAAAAAAGAAAACATTTTACTCTCAATACTCTTTTCCCTTCCCCCTTTTAATTGTGTTCTCTGCCCCTTATCATTTAACTTAGTGCTTCAATATGCTCCATCAGTTTTAGAAGAATTTTATTTGTATTCAGCTGATTTATAATACACATTTCAAGGCAGAAAATGTACATATCCCTTTGATTTAATTTTAAGAAATAAATTACTTGCGGAAATAAATCATATGTATATTACCACAGATAATTATAATGACAAGACACATGTTGACAAGAAGTAAAATCTTTGTGGGATACATCTGAAACAATTCAGATAAAATATGTCCTCTTTTATCCAGTGCTTTGGAATATAAAAGATTTAATGTAGATACTGCATCATTTATATTCTTTAACAATTAACTTTTCCTGTACATCAGAAATCACATTTTTTAGTTGGTGCAGGAATGAATTCCTTCTTATATCTGTGCTTATTTTAGAAAAGAAAATACTGGTATTTTGTTGGTAGCCTTACATGTAACAGAAAAATAATACTTTTAGACTCACATTTAAAACTGTGATCTGACAACCATACACACCAGAATCATGGGATGCTGATTAAGATGAAGAAACCTCAGCCTTACCACTAACCTACCAAATTAAAATCTCTGGTTATGAGATGGAGAATATGCATTCTACATAAGTTTACCAGGTGAGTCTTCTTTGGGGAACTACTATTAAGGAATTAATCAGGAAAAGGTCTTGGCATCCTTCAGAGAAACAAATTCATACTTCACAAATATAGTACCACTGATTGTACTCCAGGGAATTCCAAAGGACTAAAAGGAAAATATGAATGAGAATTCCACTTTCCTAATCCTGCTAAAGTAGAAAGGGCACAGGCTAAATCTAACATTTATAAATGACTGGAGTTTGGGCTTGTTACCTAGCCTCTCTGAATCTTAGTTCCATTATGTGTAAAATGGAAATGATGACATAGGGTTGATTAGAACATAACATGGAATTATTTATGAAAAGCAACTGGCACCAAACCTGGTAGAGAGCTGAACTGATTTTTTTTTTCCTAAAAGGAATCTACCAGAAAACTGACTCCAAAAACCTGCCCTAAAAACTTTTATAGCCATTTCACTTGCTGCCACAGATATGTTCTTCAAGTACATACAAATCAAAACTGTTTTTATCCAATGAGATTTCAAGCGTGCAAAGAACGTTTGCTACTTATTAAACTAGTGATGCAGAGAGTCCTTTGTATAAAAAGTTTAATTTGTAATGTAAATAACAAACAAGAACTCAAGTTTACTTTCTAAATTTAGATTTTTGCATTTTCTTAAACTAGAGCACACCTCAATTAATAACAGAAAATATTATTATTCCACGGATATATTATAAATTCAGCCTATATAGAAAGACACAATATCATACTGCATGGATGTTTTATGAAGGTCAAGTTTTTGTAATCTCCAGAAACTTTATTTTAAAAAGTCTCACCAGTCATGGTGGTTCACGTCTGTAATCCCAGCCATTTGGGAGGCCGAGGAGGGCAGATCGCCTGAGGTCAGGGATTCGAGACCATCCTGGCCAACATGGGTGAAACCCTGTCTCTACTAAAAATACAAAAATTAGCTGAGTGTGGTGGCACACGCCTGTAGTCCCAGTTACTTGGGAGGCTGAGGCAGGAAAATCACTTGAACCCAGGAGGCAGAGGTTGTAGTGAGCTAAGATCACGCCATTGCACTCCAGCCTAGGCGACAAGAGTGAAATTCCATCTCCAAAAAAAAATGTATATATATATATATCAAGACCTCAAGATAGACAAACAAATTTCCCACTACAGGTTTTCTGGGAGACAGTATCTTTTTTTCTTTAGGAAAAGTTTTTTTTTTTTAATATAACTCAAAATCCACTAAAAAAAAAGTTACCTTTTCAATGCATCTTCGAAGCGTGTTAATGTTCCTCACCCACCACCCTATTCCCATAGCTCTTAATTCAGACCACTGGGGATCCCCTCTCTGAATTGCTGGAATCATATTAATCAGTTCTTCTTCAGCCTCAGAATGAAAAGCCCAAGCAAAATGGCATGTAGACACACCTAAATTGGAAATATAAAATAACAACCTTCATAATTGTATCAAATAAGAAAAACAACTTTTCATGCAGTCACATACGCATTCGTTTTGGAAAGAATTTTGAAGCAGAAAGAGTGAAAGGCAGTCTGTCATCGATTCAGGACTTTATACTATAAGTTTCTGAATACAAGATCAATAATGTGATACACAAAATCCAAATCTCTTTTTCCCCAAACATTTGTTTTTGTTTCCCCTACAAAAATAGGGACACTAAAACTTAATCATTAGAAATAAAAATATTTGAGTATCAGGCCATTCACACATATGGCACACCAAATTTGTCAAGGCGTCACAAGAGCTGCCCAAGCTCACACAACTAAGAGTGCAGGGCCCAGGCCTGATTCCAGATTTCTCTGTCACGAGGACCTGTGAATCCAGCCTGCCCAAGAGGACACAAGGTGTGTTGTCCCCGACAAGAGCCCAGGGGAAGGAAAGCATGGTGAAAGCTTCGTTCAAGTCAAAAGCACTTGGCTCACCGGCCTGGATGTCGATTCTAGCACCACTACCCCATTCTTCTCTCTACCCATGGAGCTAAATATCACTTCAAAGCAAGCTCTAAACTTCATGAGAGTTCCAGAAAATATAAGGGTAAGTTGCAATCATGATGTACATTCCTCTGTTTTTAGTGCCTTCAGTTAAAAGTAGTTTAAAGTGCCTAATATTGATGCTTTTTGATGAACATTGTTTTTTGTTTTGGGTTTGTTTTTTTTTCCTCCTGGGAGAAGACTGACAGAGATCTAGGCTATTTGTAGAGGCAATAAAATCTTTACTGATGCTATTAGACTTCCAAGTACTAATGGATTTATCAACAGTTCAATTATTAATAACACTCTTACTGAAATTCGACTTAGAGTAGGTAAAAACACAACATAATGAATGTGAACCATGCAGAATGGTAATGAATAATGGGAATGCTGGAAAGAACTCTGGGAAGCCTTGGAAAGAAGCCAAACTAGTCCAAGTAGCCATCTCTATGAACTCATTTTAGAAATAAAGAAATGTCTGAGGTCAATGAAAGTCACATTACAACACAGGCCTCTCAGTGCTATTAAGTATCAATACTGTTACACATAATTTTTTTCATTATCAACTACTATACAGATTTTGTATGCAGTTTAAAGCTTTTCTAATAATTACTGCTTCACTATAATTCCTTTAGAAAGTAAAAAACAAAAAACTATTATTATTTTGAATAACAATCTTAACTCTCTTAAATTTCCCATTGCCAACACTCATATAACAACTGTGTTTGTAATCATAACACAAAACTAATGCAACATGTCTTGGCTGCCACTATAAATTTAGGGGAAAACACCGGACAAAATTTTTAATAAAATCAATTTAGTTTTTAATAACCTGAAAGACAGACTAATTTTTTGACTATTTAAATCTCTGCTGTAAGAGAGAATTACTGCATCATATAATTGAAATTCTGCTTTAGAAACTAATATACAGCAACACAAAATGCATAATTTGCTGATACAAAATTTATAATATAAAATAATACATAGCATATTACATTCTATATCCTTAAATTAATTAAAATTTTGGTATAAGAAGAAACAAAACAAAAATACACACAGACATGTCAGAAGAATTAGGTTCAGAAAGCAAGATTAAGAGCAGTGAATGTATTTGAAAACCTGCAGAGGTGAAAAACGTTATTAGGGAAGAAAAAGAACAGGGGCACCAACAGGCACTTCTTTTTATTTACCTACCAATGGCAGGCTATTCTCTACAGTTTACCTCTGCGCTTCTCAGCTTTTCTATCTACATACTGGCTACTTAATTTTTCTCTGAAAACTGGTCCCAGGACTATCACCTATAACACCAGTCACTTCTCATTGCCCATGCTTTAACTGTAGTAGAAGGGAAAATGGAATTTGAAAACGTTTTAGAAATTTGAAGTGTTTTAGATTGCCCTAGGAAATGTAAAAAATTGTTATTAATTGATTCAATACCACTTGACTATCACCCAAAATTAAAGAGAACATGGAGATACCATTTTAAAAATCTATCCAAATGGCATAGATTGCTTAAAATGTTAATATCAAATGTGGGCAATGGGTTGAGTTTTGGCATCATCAAACTTTCTTTATTTTACATTTTTAATAATTTTTTGTTTTCAATTTTTGTGAGTACACAGTAAGTGTATACAAACTTCTGGGAATGTAAATGAGCACAGTATTTCTGAAGGGCATTTTCATGATACTTATCAAGAGTGAATAATTTTCACGCCTTTTGATTCAGTAATTCCACTGCTAGAAAACTAGCATGAGGAAATAAACAGGAATGTAAATACTTACTTGCCAAGCTACAAGGTTCTTCATTACAGTGACAATTCAAACAGAAAAAAAACCTCAGCAAAATCTATTTCAAAAATAAAGGATTGGGTAGACAAAATACAGTTTAGACACAGAATTTCAGATGGCTATTTAAAGTTGTGTTTTCAAAGAACATTCATAGGTTAAAGGGTATAAGTGCCATGGGTAGGAATAACAGTCTATCAAGCGTAGTGTTCTAGGTTCTGTAATACTAAGACATATATTATGGGACTCTTTCCAAGATGTTGGTTTCAAAAGAAATATGGTCCAATGAAATGAGCTCTGGACTGGGATTCGAACTCCAAATCTTCTAATAAATAGTCCTGTATCCTGGGCAGGTCACTTTTAATTCTATGGTTTCAATTTTTTAATCTGTAATAACAAGGCTGATATAAATCCTTATGTCTCAAATCAGGTGTGGCAGTATGCTTGAAGTATGCAAATCCACTGTTATCAATATGGCAGATCTTCCTGAATCATCAACTTTACTTGCTGACAAATAACTGGAACATAATGCTTACATTAAAATAAATACAAAAACATATCACAGAGCAAAGTTTACACAATTTTTCAAAGAAAAGACATCAAGATATTTAGGGCTACTTTACAGAGAGCCACTTCAGGTTACCACCTCAGGCATACCACATTTACCCCCTAAGCTACTACTTCAGTAAATAAATTCTATTCTAAACTTAGTTAGAAGAGTAAGTCACAGAATAGAGCCGAAGGATGCATAGAAAAATGGTAAGTGGGTACTATGTGACAGAAAGATCTTAAGGCCAGTGATAGGTATGCACGTAATGACTTACCTAATGTTTACACACAAATGTGAATAAACCCCACTGCTCCAATATTAAGTAAAAGTTGGCAAAGCTTCAGTGAGTGAATTACCTTGATGCAGTAGCTGCACTCGGTATAAGGGAGGCAGAGATGTCAAAAGGCATGTGTGTAGGCGCATAGCTAACAAGTACCTCAAACCACACTCATCTAATGTATCTCTTCCTGTAATTTAAACAGAAAATACGTTTAAGGAAAAAGGAATGCAAGAGGCCACAAACTGATAAGCTATAAAATAAACATTAAACTTAGTCATAATTTATATAAAATACATAAGATATTTTCAGTGTATTCCTTCCTGAACACTTTAACGTTTTTACAAAAAAATCGTATCTTTACAAAAAAATATATGTGACTACTAAAACTCTTAAAAGAAAAATGATTTGGGGAAATACAATTAACTATTAGAACAGATAACAAAAGCATTTATAGTGACATAATAAATGAAAGACATCTTGAAATCCAATAAAAAATATATTAACTATAGTATGTTAGGTACAACTTTTAATAATATTTTCTACACGAATTCCAATGAGATGTAATGGAAATTACATAACTGATGTGAAATCATTTGTTATATATTTAAACAGGTAATATTTTCTACCTTGGTTAAATTAACTGAAATATCGTACTACCAAAGATTTAAAATTTGAATCCCCTGGCTAGTTAGTGTTACATGGTTAGGCTGAATCTTCACCTTGATCCCACAAATTTATTTATACAAATGAATTCCACTTAGTCGAAGTATGAAGGTGTGGCAAGTGTAACCAAAACTATAGCCACTGCTGGATAAAAGCAAAGGAAAAATACTGACAGCACCTAGCCCAATAACTGACACTTCAGAAGTACTCAAACATTATACAATCAAACAGTATTTTCCAAAAAAAAAAAAAAACAAAAAACTTTTAAATGGCCAAAGATCAAGCCCTAGCTCTGTTTTTCACTACCTATATCAATCCATCTATCTATCTATCCATCTATCTATCTATTTAGCTAGATAGATAGCTATTAGGTTGGTGCAAAAGTATTTGCAGTTTTGCCATTACTTTTGCACCAACCTAATATCTATCTATTTATTTATTTATAGACATAGGATCTCGCTATGTTGCCCAAGATGGTCTAAAAGTCCTGGCCTCAAGCAATCCTCCCACCTTAGCCTCCCAAAGTGCTGCCATTAAAGGTGTGAGCCACCATGCTCATTTGTCCACTTATTCATTCAACAAATCAAGCATCTATTACATGTGAGGAACTCTTTGGGTACTGGGAAATCAGCAGTGAATAAGGCAAAGTCCCTACTCTCTTGGGGATCATATTTTAGGAGGTAGAGACAAACAATAAACAAATAATATGTGGAAATTAATGCTACGAACAGAAATAAAGCAGGACTGAGAGATAGGGAATGCTAGAGTAAGAGAGTTCTATTTCATACAGTATGGCCAGGAAAGAACTCTCCAATAAGATGACATGCCAGCAGCAATTTGAGGAAGTAAAGGAATGAGCCATGCATGAATCTGGAAGAAGAGCATTCTAATAGAGCAGAAATGAGCACAGACTGTGTGGGACTTTTAGGCCACTTTAAGGCTCTTAACTTTTATTCTAAAGTGAGACAGGAAGGCACCGGTTTATGTTGAGCAAAGGAGAGATTTAATGTGATTTGATTTTAAAAGAATCACTGGTTCCTAGGCAAAGAACAGACGGAGGTAACAAGAATAAAGCAGTTAGGAGATGACAGGGACTTGGACCAGAGTAGTAACTGCAGAGGTAATGATAATTGATTGTTGGATTCTGGATATTAATAGAACTGATAGCATTTGCCAATGAACTGGATATGAGGTATAAGAGAAAGCAGAGTCAAGAATGACTGTACACTGTTTCACCGAAACAAGTGGAAGAACTCATTTACTTAGAATCCATTTACTGAGACGTGTAACTCATTTAATCTCTGACCTTCGGTTTCCCACCTGTGAAATGGAGACATTCATTCCTGCCTTATTACCTCATCAATGTCCACTGTGTCCAGGATACACTATTTCTATATTGCTTTAGCCAATGATACACTTTTGTATTAGAAAGTGTAAACTGTTTTGTTTTACAAATTATGGCATGCCTACTTTCTTAATGTCCCACAGTAAAAACTAATATATATTAAACACACAACACAAGCTTAAGGTTGTTCTGGGAAGAATCTCACTCAACTGCATACAACCTCATAATGGTTAAGATTTTTCTTTTCCAATTAATAGTGAGAAAATAAGTCATAGGCAAAACCCTAGAAGGTCTCTAGTTACTTTAACCTGCAGAGGAGAAAACTTTGGGGGATATACTATAGGGATGTAAATCTACATGAAGAGATATTTTCCAGCTGCCTTTCCCCCACAAATCTGGAAATTATGAAATAGTTAAAAGGGTACAGGCTTTGAGTCAATAATTTATCCACATATGAACCCCACTTCTACTCCTTAATGCCTATGTGATCTCAGGTGAGTCCCTTAATTTCTTAAGGATCAGTGTCTTCATCTATAAAGTTAAACATAGTAATAGCTATCTGCTAGAAGATTTTGAATTAATGAAATTTTGATCATTAATTTTCAGTTTCCTTTGCCAATGCTATCATCTACAATCTACAACATTACCCTGAACTATGTGCATAAAAGAGAATGGAATCTAGTTCCAGGAAGCAGCCAAAAATTTTCTAGTTAGAGAATGAATTAGGCAAAATACGTTATGACATTAACTGTAAGGAAAGCTCTCTGAAGAGACTTTTTGGAGAAAATTAGGTAATTGTAAAAAGTTGTTTATGGCTAGAAATGGGAAGACCAACAAGTTGAGCCCATGAGGTCCCAATAAGCCTCATGATTCCACAGTAACATTAACAAATGGGCTGTTATTATCAAAGGAAAAATCACAGGGATCAATCTGATTTTAAAAAACGAGAGACTTGGCCAGTCCATGGTGACTCATGCCTATAATCCCAGCACTGTGGGAGGCCAAGGCAGGAGGACTGCTTGAGCTCAGGAGTTCGAGACTAGCCTGGGCAACGTAAGGAGACCCAGTCCCTACAAAAAAAAAAAAAAGAGATTAGCTTGGCCCCATGGTGGTGCACACCTGTGGTCCCAGCTATTTAGGAGACTGAGGTGGGAAGATTACTTGAGCCTGAGAGGTTAAGGCTACAGTGACCTGTGACTGTGCAACTCCAGCCTGGGCAACAGAGCAAGACCCTGTCTCAAAAAAACAGACAAACAAAAAACCCACCCAAACACACACAAAAAACAAGAGATTATAAATCAAAAATGACACAAAGGTTTCAGTGTAAAAACTCATGAGAGAATGCACATGGATCTCACAAATCTGTGCATTCATATGACTGCCTCAACTGTCTTTTCTGAGCATATTATATAATAGTAATTGCCTATTAAGGAGGTCTTTCCCATGCAAAGTTTGAAAGTTGAGACTACAATTCAATAAATGAGTCAGTATACAGATAATACAAATATTTCTATTAGGTACAACTTTATCCATTTTTAGTGAGAATATTTACCTGAGCAACTCTTATCTCTGCTTTCATCAAGCTCAGTACTGGTAGTAGCCACTGTATCAGCCAAAGCTACAAGGAACATCTGCTCCAAACGGGTAAGGCCTGGTAGACTTGAGTGCATAAGATGACTTGAAAGTACCCTTGCATGTTCTTGGCCAAAGTAAGCTGGTCCATATTGAGAAAGATTTATTACTTTTGATTTGTTTTCTCTCTTTTCGGGCTCTAAATCAATATCATCCGTTGTTATATCCTGGATTTGAAACAGCTCTGAATACTGATCCTCTGGTTGACTTACTGTCTGATCTTCATAGCTCTGTGGTATCTTTGTACTTTCTTCTGAAATTCTGTAGGATATATCTTGATCTGCAGCAAGTAATGCATATAGTGGGAGTGGAGGGATAGAATCTATCTCAGTATAATCTCGAGTACCATCTTTTCCTACGGTGACTGTTTCCTTTGCTGTACTGCCGCTTACACTAATAGTTCGAGAAAGATGTCGCTTAGTTCCTTCTCCAGCATCAGCATCTCTAACTATTGCTACTTCACCTGCAATACATTTTACTAAATGAGAGAGAATGGCTTTAGCCCTTCGCACTTTCCCTAAATCCATCAATTCTAACAGCTGAGTTGGATGATACTGTGGAAGAGTAGGGGAAAGTACATGTGCAGCCTCAAATAAGCCACCATCTTGAATTACAGTTGGTGAACAAAAAACATCATCAGAAACAGCTGTTCCTTCAACAATACTTTTTCTTGCCAGCATATTAGATTTAAAGGTCAAATGATCTTGCATTGCTGCCTCTTCTGCATTAGGACTGTCAGCTTCAGTGTCTCCAAATTTGACAGCATGCTTCCACTGTGCATATACATGCATTTCACAATCCATTCCTACCACCAATATCCCATCTCTTACCCAAGAGAGAGAAACAGGCAGTGAAGGAGTACCATCAATGGAAGATACCAAGTCTATAGATCTAAGAAGAACCCATCTTGACCTAACCCCTTGCTTGATACTACCACCTAGTGGTAAAGTAATGACAGCTACTCCATCCTTACTGTTGGTTTGCTCAGTCACAATTCCTGAAAGCCTTCCATACATGAAGATATTAGCACCGACCCCCACTGTAAGAATGTGGGAGCCATCTTCTTTTGATACCCAGTCCAAATGTACTAAATGTTTGATATTCGGAATAAGGTATCTATCTTTGCTCAAGAGTGCATCTGACTTGCTATACACAAACAGATTACTGTCAACGCTGACCCTTGAATCAAGTACACTCCCAACCTTAACCAAATCATCAAGATGAATTGTTTGTTCTAAAACCCACTCTGATCCTCCTGTAGATTCACATTCAAATATACAAACATGCATGGAAAATTCTTTAGAAATAAAACCATTATGGTGGATAGGTTGCTTATAAGCCACTGCAAGACGACCTGTGTATGAACAGCTAACAGCAACTGGTCTTCCCACGATGCTCACTGTACTGCTATTATCTTCTCCTTCATCATTCATCAAAGGCCATCTCTTCCAATGATAAATTTCTTTCTCATCACTTTTATTACAGTCTGGGTTGGTTTCCATACAACATTTCCAGAAGCGTACTTTATTGTCAGAACAAGTTGTAACCACTAAATAAGGTGCAAGGCACACTGGATAAATTGAAGAAGAACTCAGATGGCCTTAAAAAAGAAAAAGCAAAGTTAGTTATAATAATAATAAAGCCACAAAATAATATGGTAATAATCAAATTCTGGAATGTGATCAATTCAAAGTCACTATGAGCTTCTTCAGAATAACTCTGTAGTCTTCCTCTTAACTAGTATCCCACTAAATGTACATTGGCCAACGTATCTATAAAGGTCTTGAAGAGCCCATCAGTGAATTCAAGGTATGCAATAATAATCACTTAATTTGTTTTTAGGTAATTAAGTTTAAATGAGGCAACCATTTAATTAAAATAAAACTCAAAAGCACTGAAATAAGTCAACCCTTAATGTGTTTCTATTATTTACATTTACCTTTACAACATGCCTCCCTAGACTTTCATACTATATATTTAATCATTTTCATCATGAATACTTAACTGAGCTTTACAATTTGCCTTTCAAATGCCCCAACCCTCCCTCAAATAATCCAGACCCCAAGTGGTACATTAAATTTTGTTTCAGACAGCAAAACAGACCAATAGATCTTACCCATTCTACCAAGTTTAATTCATCCTCTCTTAGCACTGAACCAGAACCCTCTTATCTATTCCTGACTGCCAAAGACTAACAAGGTACATCTGTTGTCAACTGTAAGACAAGGGGATATAGAGATTAAGATCTGAGGTCAGAAGATCTGGATTTGAGTTTCAATCCATCAATAATTTCATTAACAGTGGGAAAGCTACTTAATTAATCATCTGAGCCTGTTCCATCTAAACAACTGGGATCAGTTACTGTTTCCCCTAGAATATTGTTGTCAAATAAGACATTTTATAAGGCCTCTGTAAAATATAATTTATTATCATGAACGCCAATAAACTTGAGTATAACCCAAACCTTTCAAATATTTTGAAAGATTAACAAACTGGCCTAGATCTGCACCAGCCACAAAAGCCCAGAATACACTCTTCTCAATATGATCTTTCCAACTGTAAATGCAAACTTGTCTTAGGGATGAATGAGAAAACACCCTTACTGAATATCATCCACCAGTAATATTAACAGCCCTGAACCTCCAGTTTTGGTTTCCAAAAAACACTATTCTAGAAACTCCCCAATTAAAATTCTACAAGTAGCAGATCACTTTAAATACAGCTGCCAGTCTTGCCCTCCAAATATCTTATCTATCTTGCTAAAGTCGGTATCATTCCAGACCAGCCAAACTATAATCTTTTATCCTACATTTTTCCTCAGAGTATCTGCCAACCCTTGTTCAAACATTCTTAATAAAAGTGAGATATGATTACCACAATGTGAACGAAAAGTCTTAATTAAAAAAAAAAAAAGCCTCAGTGGTTTACAAATGAATTTGTTCTTTAAAATTTTTACTATCATGATATTCCAAAGTATAGGCAAGACATCTCACATTAAAATATTTACACTATTTTGGCCGGGCGTGGTAGCTCACGCCTGTAATCCCAGTACTTTGGGAGGCCGAGGCGGGTGGATCACGAGGTCAGGAGATCGAGACCATCCTGGCTAACATGGTGAAACCCCGTCTCTACTAAAAATACAAAAAAATTAGCCGGGCACGGTGGCAGGCTTCTGCAGTCCCAGTTATTTGGGAGGCTGAGGCAGGAGAATGGGTGTGAACCCAGGAGGAGAGCTTGCAGTGAGCCAAGATAGCACCACTGCACTCCAGCCTGGGCAACAGAGCAAGACTCCGTCTCAAAAAAAAACACACAAAATAGTAAAAATTTACACTATTTTCTGTCAAGCTGATTACATTTATCACAGGAAATTTGTGTGTGTGTGTATGTGTGTGTATAGTCTCGCTCTGTTGCCCACCCAGGCTGGAGTGCAATAGTGCAATGTCGGCTCACTGCAACCTCCGCCTCTCGAGTTCAAGCGATTCTCCTGCCTCAGCTTCCCAAGTAGCTGGGATTACAGGTGCATGCCACCACGCCCAACTAATTTTTGTATTCTTAGTAGAGACAAGGTTTCACCATGTTAGCCAGGGTAGTCTCGAACTACTGACCTCAAGTGATCCACCCACCTCAGCCTCCCAAGGTGCTGGGATTACAGAAGTGAGCCACTGCACCCAGTCAGGAAATTATTTCTAATAAAGACGTGTTTCTAAACATCTAGACATATCATTAAAAGAAAATAAATCTTTATTTTAATGTCAACATAGCACATATTTCAGAAGAGTTCATGTATTTTATCTACTAAAGAGTTTATACATTTTATCACTATGAGCTACCACTGTGCAGTCTTAAAATGACCTTACCTGCTGAAGGAGTTGCTCTTATTACTTCAACTGATTCTGGGAGATCAAGGGGTTGGCTATACACCAGTCTAGAACTCAGAATAAGTTTACTGGCAGTTTGAAGATTGGCAATTGATGAAGAATGTGGCATGGGGCTCACACTAGGAGAGGTTTCTGGAGAAGAATCTACATTCTTCTGTCCAGGGACTGAAAGTAGACTCTTAGAGGAAGCACCTTCTGAAGCTTTAGCTTTAAAAATAAATTATAATATTACAAAATGTATGTATATCATTACTATAAATATGAGCTAGAATATTACTTCGTTATTATTTAAGAAACATAGCTTCTTAAAAGTATTTTGGAGGTGAGGATACAGAGAAAAGAGAACTCTTTAAAATAGAATGACCATATGACTCAGCAATCTCACTACTAGGTGTTTATCCAAAGGAAAGGAAATCAGTGTATCAAATGGATAACTGCACCCCTACATTTATTGTAGCACTATACACAACAGCCAAGACATAAAATCAACCCAAGTATCCATCAGTGAATACACGGATAAAGAAAATGTGGTATATACACAATGGAATACTATTCAGCTATAAACAAGAATGAAATCCTGTCACTTGCAGCAACACAGTTGGAAACCAAAGGTCACTATGTTAAGTGAAACAAGCCAGGCACAGAAATACAAATATCACCTGTTCTTTCCCTCACATATGAGAGCTAAGAAAGTGGATCTCACGGAGGTAGATAATAGAATAACAGACACCAGAGAATGGGAAGGGTTGTGGGGTGGGTGAAGAGAGAATGGGAAGGGTTGTGGGGTGGGTGAAGAGACTGTTTAATAGGTACAAACAAAAAGTTAGACAGAAGAAATAAGTTCTATTGTTTGATAGCACAGTAGAATGACTACAGTTAACAACAATACATATTTCAAAAGAGCCAGAAGATCTGCTAGAAGATCTGAAATGTTCCCAACCTGAAGAAACAATAAACTTCAAAGTAATGAATATCCTAAATACCCTGATATGATCATTACATATTCTATCCATGTATAAAAACATCACATGTACCCCGTAAATATGTATAATTATTATGCATCAATAAAATTTTTTTAAAAAATTACTTTGGAGACAAGGTCAATTTTCAAACTTTTGCTTAGTTACTCTGATAAGCTTTTTTTTTTTTTTTTTTTTTTACAATTTTACTCTTTCTTAGCATCAGTTCTATCATGGGAGACTGACAGGGAAGAATCACAACACGTAAAAGCTAAAAGAAACCCCTTACACAGTCCAGTGCTTACAACCTTTAAAACACATTAAAAGCTTGAGGAATTTGTTAACACGCAAATTCCCAGGCCTAACCACAGAGACACTGATTTAGATGATATGGGGTAGATCCTAGTAAAGCAGCCCAGGTGTTTTTGAAACAGATGGATCATGAACCAAACTTTAAGAAATAGCAATGTACTGCCTCACTTTTAGATTAAGAAATTTAAACTTAGAGAGTTTAGTGATTTTCCTGAGGCCATATAATTAGCTAGGGGCAAAGAAGATGTTACACTAGCAGCCTCCTATCAAGTACTCAAATCACGAACACAAAAAGTAAAAGTTGTAAGAAAATTTAAGACAATATTAGTTGACTGCCTTTGTAAGCCATATTGACTTGATCTTCCAAAGAACTTCCAGTGAGTATAAATCTCTAAGATTCAGTTATCTGTTCTTCCGTGACATATAAGAGATACTCTATATTTTATTTATTTATTTATTTATTTATTTATTTATTTATTTATTTGTGTATCTGTCTCTCCCCATTGGACCACAAATTCACTAAAGGCAGGGATGATATGTTATTGCCTTGTACATCTCAAGGAGCACCAGAATATCTAATAAATAATAATCAATCCTCTTTTGTTTCTGTTAAACATGTCAATCTATCTTATACTGGTAGGCCAATAAGTAAGAAATATGAAAAAAAATTTTTTGTAAAATGAAATGAGACTACAAACTTGAATCCATAGTCAGAATACAGGAGTCCCACTCCTGGCTCTATCACTAATGAGATGTGTTTCCTTAGGCCAGGCACTTCACCATCTCTGGCTACTTTTTCACCAGCAAAGTAAGGTTAAAACTACATCATTTCTCTTCCTGTAAAGCATGCTACTTTCTAACATATATCTCATGCTAAGAAAGAAAATAAGAGCAGAAAAAAAAAGCAAAGACTTTAGAGTCACCAAGGCCTGATTTTGAAACTTGGTTCTGTGACAAACTATATAATGGGTCTTGCTCAAGTTACTTACCCTTACTCCATTAGTAAACTGGGTATAATGTCTATCTCACATATATAAAGCACCAATCTCAGTACCTGGCACCCAGAAGGTACTCAACATGTTCCCTTCTCTAACAAAATTTAAACCAATCATTTATCCTCTAACAGGATATTCACTACTGTGGTAAATTTAAGCATTAAATGTGAATGGCAGGATATACTGTTAAATCTGCAGCAAAGATTAGAACAAAAAGATGGATGCTTTCTATCACAGCTAAGAAGAGTAAATTATTTGCCTCTACTGTAATCTCATTGTCTGTGACCTACTGCTGTCACAAACAGTGTAGGCAAGCAACTCAACTCTAACCCTGGCTTGAGTGAGACACACACCTCATAAACAGTGGGGACAAACAGAATCACACAGTTCCTGTCCTCCCACAAGGATCTGTTACTACCTCTGTAAATCTCTTCAGAGTCACTCCTATCTCTGTGCCAAATTCTAGAAATTACTATATTCTCTGCTGGGTGAATCTCTTCCTGATGAACTGGTTTTAGATCCCTTCTCTTGCATTTCTGTCAAACAACATATAATGCAAAAAATTAACTCCAAAGGCTTTGAAAGAATTTTTAAATACCTGGTGCCTCCAGAAGATTAGGCTCAACTAGGTGAAGGTAAAGGTTCTGTCAAATAATTTGGCTTTTCTAATGCCAATTCATGGCCCAGTTAGAACTGCTACCTACAAAGTTATGTGATAATGTATAATACATGTGAACAAAAAAGTACAAATTATTCTTTCACTGTATTAAATGTTGTATAAGAAGTTGTATAAAATCAACTAATATAATTACAAGAAATAATAAACTATTACAACTCAAATATTTTGAGTTAACAGTTTAAAGCAGATTCAATGTGATATGGCTATCCATGTACTTCTTCATTTTAACAATTCTCTCAAAAAGTAAAAGTTTGTTTTTTAAAAAAACTATGATCAATTTCTTTGCTTCATACTACAGATTTCCCTATTTGTTTAGAGATTAATCTAAATGTGTACAGCAAAAGAATGGCTGAAATAATTTTTTAATCACAATTGCATTTCTTTTTTTTTTTTTTTTTTTGAGACAGGGTCTCACTTTGTCACCTAGGCTGCAGTGCAGTGGTGCAGTCTCGGCTTATTGCAGCCTCTGCCTCAAGGGCTCAAGCAATCCTCCCATCTCAGCCTCCCAAGTATAGGCACACGCCACCATACTTGACTAATTCTTTATTTTTTTGTAGAGATGAAGTCTCACTATATTGCCCAGGCTGATCTTGAATTCCTGGGCTCAAGCGATCATCCTGCCTTAGCCTCCCAAAGTGCTGGGATTACAGGCATGAGCCATCATGCTCAACCTGTATTTCTTAATGTTCTACAAAAACAGTTCTGCTTATAAGCCTCAGGCACTCAATTATATTTTATCAAACAGCAATTCTGCTTTTTTTTTTTTGAGACGGAATCTTGCTCTGTCACTCAGGCTGAAGTGCAGTGGCACAATCTCAGCTCACTGCAAACTCCACCTTCCAGGTTCACGCCATCCTCCTGCTTCAGTCTCCTGAGTAGCTGGGACTACAGGTGCCCGCCATCACGCCTGGCTAATTTTTTGTATTTTTAGTAGAGATGGGGTTTCACCATGTTAGCCAGGATGGTCTTGATCTCCTGACCTGATGATCTGCCTGCCTCGGCCTCCCAAAGTTCTGGGATTACAGGCATGAGCCACCGCGCCCGGCCAGTTCTGCTTCTTTTAATGATGATAAAGCTGATGATGTACAGTGTATTGCATGGGAATGTGTATTAACAAAAAAGTACAATATTAGTTCTATGGACATCTAGAACAGTCATAATGTGCACTCAATAAATATTCACTGAAAAAAATAAATCAAGCTTTTTTTTTTTTTCCAATATGTCTAATGTGCCCATAGGCTAGTTTTTAGGATTAACCAGTTTCATTAATGATTTATGACCTTGTAATTAAAAGTTTAGAAGAGACATAATTCAGCAACTCAATTTACAGTTTACTGGAACTTCATTTTACAGAATTAACCAAATGAATTTATTATGTATCATCTCTGTATGAAACTATAATTACTTACCTAAACATGCTTGTACAGATTTAAGATGAAGGTGCCACATATGCAGAATAGAGTTATTATTGATGTCCTTCTCAATTACTACTAGAAAGAACTTTTCTGAAAACGGTGGTGGGCGGTATCCTATTATTCAAAGGAAAAGGATATTTAAATTAGTATTTTTTATAGGGTTAAAAAACCACTTTTTAAAAGCTACCAGCACCACTTGATATGCATGGAAGTTGGGAAGAAAAGGCAAGAAAGACCTTTAGGAGGAGTTTTATATAATTTTTGTGCCAAAAGTTAGATAGCCATCAAGGACTAATGAAGTTACGTCAAAAGTACACAAAAGCTAATATGAAAGGATACCTACTGGTCAAAGAGGGGACACTGTGAGCATCAAAGAATAAAACTGAATACAATTTGTTAAAATATATTTATCCTATTACAAACTAGGAGTTTACACAAATACCAAAAGAGGCTACATAAAAAAGAAAGGAAAGGAAAGGAAAGCAGCAGAAGAAGAATGGAAGGAGGAGAGAAGGGAAGTAAGCGGGGTGCTGAGCACACAAAAGCTCAAGCCGGCCTCACAGCATGCCCCTGGAGTAACTGGGCCACTTACTCCTTATTTAGAGAACTGGCAATTAAAAGGAAATAATAAAATATTCAACCTGCTTTCTTGTATGAAAACAGCATTTAAAAAAACTTAAGTTGTGGGAGAAGGAGTAGTGGTAGGGTAAAGAAGAAATTTTGTAGAAATTTCACGCATTTTTTAAAGAAAAGACATTACTTGTATGTATAGTTTTCCCTGTTGACAATTATAGTCTTCATAACTGAAAATGAGATCTATGCAGGATAATAAAAGCTTTCCTTAATAATGAAAACTCATAATGACAACTTATTGGCAATGAGCGCTGCTAGAGTTAAAATTGTGGCCTCTAACCATTTCCATTAAAAGAAACAGTTTGGCACTGTATGTTCTCACTCATAAGGGGAGTTGAACAATGAGAACACATGGACACAGGGAGGGGAACATAACATATCGGGGCCTGTTGAGGAGTAGGGAGCTAGGGAGGGGAGAGCATTCGGAGAAACACCTAATGTAGATGATGGGTTGCCGGGTGCAGCAAACCACCACAGCACGTGTATACCTATGTAACAAACCTGCATGTTCTGCACATGTATCCCAGAACTTAAAGTATAATAATAATTTTTTAAAAAGGAACAGTTTGGAAGGATGATTCCATTCTTGCAAAGGACAGCTACAAGATAAACCCAGGAAAATCTTGTGCCTGAAAGAAAGTAAACTATTACAATAATGAGGTTATATCAAAAGGACTCAGGACCTACTTCAAATGGTACTTACTAGCCTAATATAGGACTATGTAGGCATTTAAAAAATGATTGCAACTGATTGAAATATCCTACATACATAAAAATCCATTGAGTTATATGAGTACTTCTCGTATGTATATTATTGTTCATTAAAGAGTTTTCTTAAAATGAGTTCATATTGATATCTAAAAGACAAAGAAATCCAAACAACAACAACAACAACAACAAATTCAACAGTAGTAGCTGGAGATAACCAGCACACAGACTCCTCATTCTGAAACTGTCAATTAAATGGAAAGAATTAAGCACTTAAACCCTTTCCAAAAAGAACTGTTTTTCAAAGTAATCCAATGGCCCCAGTAGATAAAGAAATGCTTCTATTTACAGACGTTTTCCAGCTAATAAATAAACGAGAACTGATAAAATTGGAAAATCATAATTTTTCAATCCTTAATGAACTAGTGTAAGATCAATAATATTCAATGGAAGAAGCCATGAGATAAAGACTGCTGTCAAACTATAATGACACCACCAATTGAATCTTCTGACTCTTAATATGACTAAAAGTGAGATATCTGAATATTATTTTTTTCTGGTATGATACATATGAAGTACTGCATCACCTAGAATGTTGAACCCAGATCTAATCAAGTCTACAGAGCTAACTTGCACTTTACAGGAAATACAGTAGACAAGAAAAAGTTTAAACAACATCACAAGTAAGTAGTCAGAGAAACCCCTTTAAAAAAAAAAAAACCTTGCCCTAGAACTAAAGGAGATAGAGACACAAAAAAACCTTTCAAAAAATCAATGAATCCAGGAACTGGTTTTTTGAAAAGATTAACAAAATAGATAGACCGCTAGCCAAACTAATAAAGAAAAAAAAAGAGAAGAATAAAACAGACACAATGAAAAATGATAAAGGGGATATCACCACTGATCCCACAGAAATACAAACTACCATCAGAGAATACTATAAACACCTCTATGCAAATAAATGAGAAAATCTACAAGAAATGGATAAATTCCTAGACATATAAACCCTCCCAAGACTAAACCAGGAAGAAGTGAAATCCCCAAATAGACCAATAACAAGTTCTGTAATTGAGGCAGTAATTAATAGCCTATCAACCAAGAAAAGCCCAGGACCAGACAGATTCACAGCCGAATTCTACCAGAGGTACAAAGATGAGCTGGTACCATTCCTTCTGAAACAATTCCAATCAATAGAAAAAGAGGGACTCCTCCCTAACTCATTTTATATGGCCAGCATCATCGTGATACCAAAACCTGGCAGAGACACAACGAAAAAAGAAAATTTCAGGCCAATATCCCTGATGAACATGGATGCAAAAATCCTCAATAAAATACTGGCAAACCAAATCCAGCAGCACATCAAAAAGCTTATCCACCACGATCAAGTTGGCTTCATCCCTGGGATGCAAGGCTGGTTCAACATACGCAAATCAATAAATGTACTCCATCACGTAAACAGAACCAATGACAAAAACCACATGATTATCTCAACAGATACAGAAATGGCCTCTGATAAAACTCAACAGCCCCTCATGCTAAAACCTCTCAATAAACTAGGTATTAATGAAACTTATCTCAAAATAATAAGAGCTATTTATGACAAACCCACAGCCAATATCATACTGAATAGGCAAAAGCTGGAAGTATTCCCTTTGAAAACCAGCACAAGACCAGGATGCCCTATCTCACCACTCCTATTCAATATGGTATTGAAAGTTCTTGGCCGGGCGTGGTGGCTCAAGCCTGTAATCCCAGCACTTTGGGAGGCCGAGATGGGCGGATCGCGAGGTCAGGAGATCGAGACCATCCTGGCTAACATGGTGAAACCCCGTCTCTACTAAAAAATACAAAAAAGTAGCCGGGTGAGGTGGCAGGCGCCTGTAGTCCCAGCTACTCGGGAGGTTGAGGCAGGAGAATGGCATAAACCCGGGAGGCGGAGCTTGCAGTGAGCTGAGATCCGGCCACTGCACCCCAGCCTGGGCGACAGAGCAAGACTCCGTCTCAAAAAAAAAAAAAAAAAAAGGAAAGTTCTGGCCAGGGCAATCAGGCAAGAGAAAGCAATAAAGGGTATTCAAATAGGAAGAGAAGAAGTCAAATTGTCTCTGTTTGCAGATGACATGATTGTATATTTACAAAACCCAACCGTCTCAGCCCAAAATCTCCTTAAGCTGATAAGCAACTTCAGCAGTCTCAGGATACAAAATCAATGTGCAACGATCACATGTATTCCTATACACCAATAACGGACAGAGAGCCAAATCATGAGTGAACTCCCATTCACAATTGCTACAATGAGAATAAAATACCTAGGAATCCAACTTACAAGGGATGTGAGGGACCTCTTCAAGGAGAACTACAAACCACTGCTCAAGGAAATGAGAGGACATAAACAAATGGAAAAACATTCTATGCTCATGGATAAGAAAAATCAATATCGTGAAAAAGTAATTTATAGATTCAATGCTATCCCCATCAAGTTACCATTGACTTTCCTCACAGAATTAGAAAAAAAACTCTTTAAATTTCATATGGAACCAAAAAAAGAGCTCACATAGCCAAGACAATCCTAAGCAAAAAGAACAAAGCTGGAGGCATTATGCTACCTGACTTCGAACTATACTGCAAGGCTACAGTAACCAAAACAGCATGCTACTGGTACCAAAACAGATATATAGACCAATGGAACAGAATAGAGGCCTCAGAAATAACACCACACATCTACCACCATCTGATCTTTTACAAACCTGACAAAAACAAGAAATGGGGAAAGGATTCCCTATTTAATAAATGGTGTTGGGAAAACTGACTTGCCATACGCAGAAAACTGAAACTGGACCCCTTCCTTACACCTTATACAAAAATTAACTCAAGATGGATTGAAGACTTAAACATCAGACCTAAAACCATAAAAACCCTAGAAGAAAACCTAGGCAATACCATTTAGGACATAGGCATGGACAAAGACTTCATGACTACAACACCAAAAGCAATGGCAACAAAAACTAAAGAGCTTCTGCACAGCAAAAGAAACTATCATCAGAGTAAACAGGCAACCTACAGAATGGGAGAAAATTTTTGCAATCTATCCACCTGACAAAGGGCTAATATCCAGAATCTATAAAGAACTTAAACAAATTTACAAGAAAAAAACAACCCCATCAAAAAGTGGGCAAAGGATACGAACAGACACTTCTCAAAAGAAGACATTTATGCGGCCAACAAACATATGAAAAAATGCTCATAATCACTGGTCATTAAAGAAATGCAAATCAAAATCACAATGAGATACCATCTCACGTCAGTTAGGATGGCAATCACTAAAAAGTCAGGAAACAACAGATGCTGGAGAGGATGTGGAGAAATAGGAACGCTTTTACATTGTTGGTGGGAGTATAAATTAGTTCAACCATTGTGGAAAACAGTGTGGCAATCCCTCAAGGATCTAGAACCAGAAATACCATTTGACCCAGCCATCCCATTAGTGGGTATATACCCAAAGGATTATAAATCATTCTGCTATAAAGACACATGCACATGTATGTTTATTGCGGCACTGTTCACAATAGCAAAGACTTGGAACCAACCCAAATGACCATCAATGATAGATTGGATAAAGAAAATGTGGCACATATACACCATGGAATATTATGCAGCCATAAAAAAGGATCAGTTCATGTCCTTTGAAGGGACATGGATGAAGCTGGAAACCATCATTCTCAGCAAACTAACACAGGAACAGAAAACCAAACACTGCTTGTTCTCACTCATAAGTGGGAGTTGAACAATGAGAACATATCGACACAGGGAAGGGAACATCACACACCAGGGCCTGTCGAGGGGTGGGGGACCTAGGGAAGGGATAGCATTAGGAGAAATATCTAATGTAGATGATGGGTTCATGGGTGCAGCAAACCACCACGGCACGTGTTTACCTATATAACAAACCTGCACGTTCTGCACATGTATCCCAGAACTTAAAGCATAATAAAAAAATAATTTAAAAAAAAAAAAAAACTTGGCCGGGCTCAGTGGCTCAAGCCTGTAATCCCAGCACTTTGGGAGGCCGAGGCGGGTGGATCACGAGGTCAGGAGATCGAGACCATCCTGGCTAACACGGTGAAACCCCGTCTCTACTAAAAAATACAAAAAAATAGCCGGGCGAGGTGGCGGGCGCCTGTAGTCCCAGCTACTCAGGAGGCTGAGGCAGGAGAATGGCGGGAACCCGGGAGGCAGAGCTTGCAGTGAGCTGAGATCCAGCCACTGCACTCCAGCCTGGGCAACAGAGTGAGACTCCATCTCAAAAAAAAAAAAAAAAAACTTTAAAAAAAAAAAAAAAAAAAACCTTGCTCTAAAGTTAGTGGCATAATGAGGGTGTATATAAGGTATCACTTTAGATTAAAATACTCTTCTTAATAGACAGTGAAAACACAATATGTAAACCTTGTTTGGATATAGATTCAAACAAAAACACATAAACAAAAACCTCAACTTTTTGACAATTCAATGAAAAATGGGAGTAGTTATTGCATGATTCTGAGGAATTTTATTATTTTATCAATTTGATAATAGCAAATATGTAAGGGAGTTATTTTTAGAAATGCATATGGAAGTGAAACAACACTGCAGGTGGATTTGCTTTAAAATATTTCAGGGGGGCCAGGCACGGTGGCTCACACCTGTAATCCCAGCACTTTGGGAGCCGAGGCGGGCTGATCACTTGAGGTCAGGAGTTCAAGACCAACCTGGCCAACGGGGTAAAACTCCGACTCTGGTAATAACACAAAAAAATTAGCCAGGTGTGGTGGCACACGCCTGTAATCCCAGCGGCTTGGGAGGCTGAGGCAGGAGAATTGCTTGAACCTGGGAGGTGGAGGTTACAGTAAGCTGAGATGACGCCACTGCACTCCAGCCTGGGCAACAGAGCAAGACTCTGTCTCGGGGGAACAAAAAAATTTCAGGGGGGAAAAAGAAAGAAAAATTGTGCAGACAAAGCAAGTGTGATAAAATCTTTAACCTACATTATAATTCAAATATGGAGGTTCACTTAATTATGCACTTAATTTTGTCTATTTTTGGCATTTTTCTTAACTAAGAGAGTAATAAACTTTGAATTAAAACTTAGAAAGTACAAAATAAAGCAGAAGCAGAGAAGAAGAGAAACCTACACAAGTCCTTTAAGAACACAGCTATAAAATCAGGAAGAAAGAGAAACTTCACACAAAAACTAAAGGAAAACCAAGAAAGCATTGAGGAAATCTTTTGGCCTGATTTAGCAGTGGCATAACAAATACCAAAAGCGAGAAATAAAGAAAATTTTTAATGCAAGTCAATTAAAATATTATAAAGAAAAGTACCAACTTTATATAAGCATTGAATTCTGGTAAGTTGGCATATCTTTCAGAAATAACGTGATAAATGGCAGCTACATTTGTTGGAAACCATATTAAAAAGATTAACCCAGGCAAAGGTAAGATACTACAGAAAAGTAAATTTTAAATCTGTAAAGAAGTACTGCTGTTATAATGATAGTGAAATAAAATTGAACATAATTGAATAACATAAATAAGAAAAGTTTTGTGTATGAAGAAAGAGATATGAAAGAAAAACAAGTTACTAGTCTGGCGAGTGAAAAGATGTTTGAGCTAAGCTTCTTAGAATACAGGACCTCAATCTGATTTTCCACTAAAGCAAAGGAAATTATCTGCACAAATTACATAGAAACAGTTTCCTTAGATGCTATACATAATTTTGTGATGAAAACTACACTAAGAAAATTAAATATGTCCATCTGGATATTCACAATTTGTAACCAAATGAAATTAATTATCTAAATACCCTTTGTAAACTAAATATTAACACAGACACTTAATTCTTAAAGACACGGCTTTTCAAATAGAACATGTTGGTTTTATAATTATGAAGTTATATATATATACACACAATTTTATTTGCCAATTTAAAAAACTTAAATATAGTTTAATGTCTGAAGGTAACATTTTAAGCTAAGTTATAAAGCTTAAACTAAACATCATATTGTTTGTTTTTGAAAGGTTAAACTACTTACTTTCACAAAAAGGAAAAAATACCACACTTCAAAGGGGAAAACTGTGAGACGGTACCTTGCATTCACTATTTCCATGAGGTTTCTACTGTCCCACACAACATGATACCTTATATCTTATATTCATCATTGGTCTGAAGCAATTTACTGGTAATTTTTTAAAACCTATAATAAAATTAACTGTTTTCCTTGAGATACCAAATGGAACTACCAATCAAAATAATTTACTTACAGAGTTGAATAATTAAACTTACTTTTTAAAACAAATTAAGGTTCATAGACACCATTTCTTGGCAAAAGTCTGTATCACCGGTGAACTGTCTTGCAAAATGTAATGTTCACCCACATGCCCTCTTCATCTACAAGCAAGCAATTTTGACAGAACTAACTGGTGTATCTGTCAAAAATTATGAGAGTGATAACTTTTGAAGATCCATACTCAATGAAAGCTTAGAGATCTTTTTTTTAGCATGAAGGTAAACAAATGCAGACTATTTTTTTAAAGTACCTTGTGATGGCTGAAAAAATATTTCTGTTTCCTTTTTCTCCATATCTTCTTTATGTGGTTTATATCCTATAATGAAGTCTTCTTGAAACACATGAAGCAACTGTGTATTTGAGCCACACTACAAATATGAAAAAAAATGAAGAGGTTTTATCTTTGAAATTCTCTGTCTCCCATCTCCCATCCATCACCACTCCAATGCTAATACAGAAGAAATATATCTAACAATTTCTATTCTTTAACTACTACTAATTAGAAAGAAATAAAGCAACAGAAAAAAATCATTAAAACTATCCTGGTCAGAGAAAAATTACTTTCAAAGATGTCACAGCCAATAGCAGAATAGAAGAACTCTAGCAGAAACAAATCAACCGGTTTGCTTCTCAAAAAAACAAAAACAAAAAAGAAGCTACAAAAACCCAAATTTAAAGAGCAGTTAAGCAACCTTCACCACTTTGAGCCTGAAAGCATCAGATTCACAACTGACTGGGGAGGGCTGCACTAACTATGTAAGACACACTAGACTACTACACAACTTGTAGTTTTTTCAATTTCACCAGAGAACCAAAAAACAAAACAAAACCCAGAAAGCTCCTCAAAGTATCCCAACAGCTCTGTCCAGTGGGAATTACGAGGGATCCTGTAACAGCCAGCAGGAGGATACATCTCTAGAGAATTAAACTCACACATAAGTAACTAGAACCCCTGAAAGGATGGATGAAACATCACTGTCAACTGCTATGCTTCATGACCACGTTTTAAGACTGTCACGAATGGCTACTTAGAACCTTAACGTGAACCGAAGTTCAAGGAAAGGCTACATCCAAACAAAAGCTTATTTTGGAAGTGTATTAAGACAATCAGATGGCACCCCCAGAGATTTCAAGAAAGCGAAGTAGCTATGATTATCTTGGCATTAGATGAGGAGTCAATAATCTTATAAAGGAAAGCCTGCCTCTTTACATAATAGAAAGAAATAAAAGGATTACAATATTTGGTTGGGCTACACAATTTTATGAAAGTTATAGGGCATTTTGTGTTTCTATAGGTAGAAACATTAAAAATCTCTTCACATTCATTGTCTAGGAGGACACCTTGCCAAGGGACAAAGAATAAATGAAAGTAAAGAGAAGGGTGATACCTTTATGGATATAGAAATCATACAACACACTGGGAACAAACCTAGAAAGAACTTTAAACTTTGTTATTCATTATTGCTTACAGTTTACCAGGCCTTCTGTTAAAAATAGCCACAAGGAGCAGGGGAGAAAATGCTGAGCAAATATGAAGTAAAAAGACTGCTTTGTGAGAGCAGGCTATATTAATGTCCCATGGTAATCAGTGCAAAGGAGGCTAAAGTAGGGGATGAATTTAACATCCAATCCATTAAAAATTAACTTATCTGTAGGAAGGAAGCCAACCCATGCTTCTACATCCCTATAGAGTAGAAAAAAGAAATCACAGGCTGAATCTGAAGAAAGGTGGGGCACTGGGGATTAAAAAGCATTTCCCAGGAGGTATTAGCAATTTGGGTCTGGCAGCCCCAGTTCTGCTATCAAGAGATGATGTATTTTATCTATATTAGCAGAAATGACTACATTTTCCCCAATAGAAAGTGCAAAACACCAAAGAAAATTTATGATATAATTCTATACTTGCTTTTAACTACAGTTGGCTCTTTCTTCATTTCCTTGTTTAAAACTATTGGTAGCTTCCTTACCAAACTAAACCTTTTCACATTTGGAATGAATGTTAGTTCTATCCCTTAATACATAAACATGGTCCTAAAGAAACAAATATCCTGAGGGCTAAAATGGGTTTTACATCTCCCTGTAGGGAGAAGGGTTCTCCTTATTTCCTAGGTAGTAGCTAGGGAGGAATACTGACTACACAAAGGACCTGTTATTAAAAAGTATATGTTCACTTTGATCTGACTTTCATCTGCATTTTAAAGGACCTCATAAAAGTACCCAACATGGGGCCTAACAAGGCAAACACTCTGAAGCTGAGGTCACCCTCTACTGAGTTGAAAAGAGTAATAATATAAAACGAGAAACCACAACCCGATCCTCTATGCAGCTGCACTGTATTTTCTCTCAGCATTTCAAGAACAGGGTCATGGTTTCTCTAACTGAACCAAATTTCCTTTGCTACAAATACAATTCAACTGGAGAAGAATAATTCCTTTTTAAAAATTTTTTATTTAAATAGCTTTCGGGGTACAAGTGGTTTTCTTGTTACATGGATAAACTACATAGTAGTGAATTCTGAGATTTTAGTGTACCCATCACTCACGTAGTGTACACTGTACCTAACGTGGTTTTTTAAATCCCTAGTTCCATTTCCACCCTCCCGCTTCTGAGTCTCTGAAGTCCATTATATCGCTCTGTATGCCTCTGCATACTCATAGCTTAGCTCCCACTTTATAAGTGAGAATATATGGTTCTTGGTTTCCCAAGGAGAAAAATAATCCCTAAATCATTAGTAGATTTTCACTATGGGAATCAACTGAAGTTGTCTGCATTTAACAAACAAGAAAATTATTCTGAGAATGACATATATCATATACACATAAAACATCACGGCATAAAGTATATAATATCACCAATTCACAAGCATGTTTTTACTTGGTTGGTTATTGCATCGAGTTCAATAATGCAGCCAGGTCGAGCAGTAGACTGTTGGCTCACAATATTAAACACTTCTCCAATAAGTTTCTGTAAATAAAAAACACAAAATGTTAATGGCCAACAACTTATAATCTATTGTCAATATGATACAGTATTTTGGACATTTAAGGCTCCCTCTAAATAGTCACTGATTGACAATGCAATGTGATACATTCAAAGAAATATTTCAACTTTCTGTACTTATTCTCATGTTAACTCTAAAGTTAACTAAGCAGAGAGAAAACTCTATAGTGTTTACAAAAATAGCATATAACTTCAAGGCATCATATCTTCTTCATTTCTGCAGCCTTAAAGCCCAAGACAGACATGGCTAAAGATCTGGCCCAATGCCTGAGTGGTCTGCAAACGTGCAATGACATTTAAAAGTACAACCCTGCCAGACTGAAGGTAAGGGCAATGGTTGAGAAGAAGTGGGATTGTGTCTTGGGATAAGGATGTAGGAACTAACACATGAAGCCTAACTTTGGAACCCCAAAGCCCAAAAACTTTCTGCTAAAAAGAACAGTCCTCCTCACCTATGTTCCAACCGACTTTCTCTTGCATAAAAACCTTTCAGCAACTTCATCTGAAACGGCTGCCTCAGAAAGAAATGCCCATTCTCCTCAGCACCCACCTTTACTACTTTTCACTACCTCAAAAAGGCCAATGAGAGGGGTTAGAGGCTAGCTTCGCCTAGATATAAGTACAAGGTAGGGGAGAAAACAGCATTTATACTGGAGTTGTAGAAACTTTCTTATTTGTATCAGTAGGATTCCAGAGAGCATCTAAGAAAATGGATTCTAGGGTTATTAGATCAAAAGAAAAAAATATGTAGTTAGGTAGGGCTGAATTTATTGCTATGGGTATGTTCACCCAAGATTCATGATTTAAAGTGTTAGCTCAGACATTTAGAAATGGTGTTAACAGGGCCAGGCGCGGTGGTTCATCCCTGTAATCCCAGCACTTTGAGAGGCCGAGGCAGGTGGATCACCTGAGGTCAGGAGTTAAGAGACCACCCTGGCCGACATGGTGGAACCCCTCTCTATTAAAAATATAAAAATTAGTGGGGAGTGATGGAGGGCACCTATAATCCCAGTTGTTCAGGAGGCTGAGGCAAGTGAATTACCTGAACCTGGAAGGTGGAGGTTGCAGTGAGCCGAGATTGAGCCACTGCACTCCAGCCTGGGCGACAGGGTGAGACTCCACAAAAAAAAGAAAAGAAAAGAAAAAGAAATGGTGTTAACAGTTTGCTGGGTTTGTTCATTCAAATCTGGACTCAACTGTGGCCTATAGTTGGTGAGGTGAAAACAGTGAAATTTTTCTAGTACACAACAAAGCTTTGCTACTCAAAGTGTAGTCAATGGACCAGCAGTGACAGGAAGTTTTTTATGAATGCATACTTACTCCCTGAAACTAAGACACCTGTGTTTTAACGAGACTTACATAGGATTCATGTGTATACTAAGGTTTAAGTAGTACTGCTGTAGATCACTTGTTCTCAATCTTGGCTGCACACTGAATCACCTGGAGAGCTTTAACAATCAATGATGCTAAGGTCCCACCTACAGAGATTGAGGTGCTGCCAATGTGCAGCCAAGGTTGAGATCCCCTCACAGGAACAGATATGTATTCCAGCTAAGGATCTGCTTTCCCTGCCCACAACTCTCTGCCAGTACTATAATTAACAGACTTTCTGAACACTACACTACAGAATTCCAGAATTCTACAGAATCTCACTCAACATCACCTCCAACAAGAAACTCATTTTATAGTGGAAAACACTACTGGAAATTAGAATGAAGTGAAGCATTCACCCAGGGTGCAAAATTTAAAAGAGTGCTCAAAAATTCAATAATCAAGAAAAATATTTTAATGCAATATTTTTAAAATAAAAATGTAAACAATCCATAATGAGCAAAATATCCAACATTTACATACAGAACCCAATAGTATCTTAATGAGCCATATTGATGCCATTAATGTGCATCAAAACTGCACATACGTGTTTTGATTTTTTTTTTTTAATGGTTAATATTTTTCTTCTGTTTTTTGCTCTATTGGCCTCCAATTACCAGGCTCAAGTGGTCCTCCTGCCTCAGCCTCCCAAGTAATTAGGACTACAGATGCACACAACCATGCCTGACAAATTTTTTAATTTGTTTGTAGAGACAGGGTCTCACTATGTTGCTCAGGCTGGTCTCAAACTCTTGGCCTCAAGCAATCCTCCCACCTCAGCCTCCCAAAGCACTGGGATTACAGGCATACCACTGTGCCTGGCTGTAGTTAACATTTTTCTGGAACATTAAAGTAGCTGGAAAATGCCAAAAATTGAAAAGTAGGTGCATTAAAACTCACGTATTACTTTAAGTTTAAATTTATTTATACCAGAAATTTGACTAATTATAGTTTCATTTTTCTGGCTTTAATGGAAACAAACACATTAATTAATGATATTTTCAAAATCTCCTTCTTTGCTTATCTTGTTTTGACAAAGTCTCTTTTTTTTTTTTTTTTTCAGACAGAGTTTCACTCTTGTTGCCCAGGCTGAAATGCAATGGCATGGTCTCGGCTCAGTGTAACCTCCGCCTCCCGAGTTCAAGTGATTCTCCTGTCTTAGCCTCCCGAGTAGCTGGGACTACAGGTGCATGCCACCACACCTGGCTAATTTCTATATTTTTAGTAGAGACAGGGTTTCACCATGTTGGCCAGGCTGGTCTCGAACTCTTGACCTCAGGTGATCCACCCGCCTCGGCCTCCCAAAGTGCTGGGATTACAGGCATAAGCCACCGCGCACAGCCCTGAGTTACATTTTAAGGGCATCATTCTAACTCCTGTGTTGAGAACAGACTTTGAGAAAGCAGAGCAAAATCATAAAGGAAAGCAATATAAATTTTTTCACACTCTAACCTCTAACTACCTATCCAGTCTCAGCTATTTCCAGCAGCCATTCACATTCTATGCTATGGCTGTAAGTAATAAACTACTTACAGCTTACTATGCATATTCTTATACCTCTGTGCATTTTTAGTTGCTGTTATCTCTACCTGAAATATCCTTTTCCTCCTTCACTTTCACGTCTTACCCATTCAGTAAGTCTCATCTCAGATATCTCCGCCAGAAATTCTTTCCTGACCACCACAATCTGGATTAAGAGTTGCTTCTAACTGTAGGAAAAGCCATCTTATCTGACAGCATTGGACAGAGAGAGGATAAATCACTCAGCAAGGTCAGTTAACCCAGAGAATCATTTTTAAAATAATATGTATACTTTAAACATTTTGTTTTATTTTAAACATAAACATATATAATAACTGATATTTTGGTGTTGAGTAAGACTTTGGAGTATGGGCTTGTTAATGGGAATTACAGGTCTTTCTTGCGTATGCCACCCCTGTAAGTCCTTGGCTGTATTTTTCAGTTCTTTAAATGGAAATAGGCTGGACACAGTGGCTCACGCCTGTAATCCCAGCTATTTGGGAGGCTGAGACAGGAGTATCGTTTGAACCCAGGAGGCAGAGGTTGCAGTGAGCCGAGACTGTGCCACTGCCCTCCAGCCTGGACGACAGAGCAACATTTGGACTCAAAATAAATAAATACATACATACATACATACACACACAAATACATAAATGGCAGTAAAAACATAAAGACACCTACAAAGCACTTTGAGTGCAGTTTTTCTTAAACATTTTCCTCCTGAATCTTTTACAGTTGTTTTGACCATGTCTAATTAAAGAATGATTTTTAGCAAAATTGCTTCCAAAGCACTTGTTGTTTTTATAAAAACATTCACATTTTTATACTCACATTTCATCAATCTATATAATAATTAAGTTATAGAATGACACTAATCTGTGCAACTTGACATATACAAGGTTGAAAATAAACACAGTTGGCTCTTGAGAGACAGTCAACGTAGTTGCAAGAGATTGGTCTCTACAGCTAGGCTGCCTGGGTTCGAATCCTAATTCTACCATTGCTAGCTGACTAAACTGGGACAAGTAATTACGTTTCTCTATGCTTCAGTGTCCTTACCTCTAAAGTATGGACGTAATATTACATTTTTCTTAAGGTTACCAGGAAGGTGAAGTAAGTTAATATATGTAAAGCATTTAGATGAGAGCCTGACATACAATAATCACTAGATAAAAGTTTGCCAGCAGCAGCAGCAGCAGCAACAGCAGCACTTTTTCTTCATGTTAAGTAACTTTCCCAGCTATTATTATTGTTAAGGTTACAAGTCAACTTGTGGAATCAACAAAGCCTGGTATACTACTCCCTATGAGCATCCATCCTATATTTTATAGAGGGAATGGACAGCATCAATGAATCCAATGAGCTGGCTTAAGTGGAGGCCAATTAAATGAATTTCACATCCTGAAATCAGCCTTTTCTTCTAATTTACCACTTATTACATACTCTATGTACATATTTATATGACTCTATAGATACAAGATCCTTGAAAGTAGGGACTGCTTCTATTCATTTTAACACTATTAGCACCTGGTACAATACGCATATTTATTCTTCCATGTACTATAGGTTATGCACAGTGAGTCCTCAATGAAAATTAAAGATTGAGTAAATAAATTACTGAGTGAAAACAAATTACACTTTAGATCATTCCTACTTTAAAAGCTTGTTTTTACTAATAGCAGCACACACTATACCACCCTATCTTTCAACACAATTTCTCCCTTATTTATTTGTAGAATACCTTAGTAAGTACTCACTAAATACCTGAATGAATGGATTTCACCAATCTAGCATCACTGGGTGAAGATAATCAAAAGCTTATTTTTTAGGCACCAAAACAACTGTATTTTTGATATTTTAAATGGAATTTTTTTAAAAAAGCTTAATCCCTGTCTTCATAAACAGCTCGCTAAACATAACTCTCTTCTTGATGACTGGCAGTCACATTTATGAACATTAACTATTACTAATGCCTTTAGAGATCTAATGACTTCAAGTACTGTCTTTGTAATAATAAATCCCAAATGTGCACTGGTACCTAATGTGAAACATTAGGAATATCTCCAATTGCC